AGGAGAAAGAGGGGTGGGAAGGGGACCAGGGAATTACAGGCACATCAGTCTAACTTTGATGCTGAGAAAAATACTGGAGGATTTCAAACAACTAATTTGTAAGCATCTAGAGCAGGGGTTTTCAACCATTTTTTAATAAGTGTACCCCCGGAAGCTGGAGGCAGAGTGGGGAGACGGCAGGGGTGGTACGTGACCAGATGTGGAGTGGCGGCAGTGCGGGGTGGCAGATGGTGGCAGTGGCCGCCGCATGCGAACTCCCTCCCTGCACCCGTCCAGCCGGGCGGTGCCTGTGCAGCCTGCAGAGGGGAGCCACTGCCCTCACCCTCCCACACCCCACCCAGCCCTGCTCCTGGGAGGTTGAAGCACGGGGTGGTGGATGGCGCCACTGGGGCCTGGCCCACTCACACGTACCCCCTAGGGCCTTCCCAAGTACCCTCAGGTGTATGCGTACCCCAGTTAACAACCCCTGATCTAGAGCATAACAAGCCAATAAGGATAAACCAGCATGGGTTTGTTTGAAGTAAATCATGGCTAACCAATCTTAATTTGGTTCTATAACAAATGGATGGGAGGCCTTGTGGCTAGGAGGGAAGCGAACCATTCCCATCTACAAAAAGTTGGCCTTCACTTCCATACCCATATCACAAAAAGCTGTGATTTTTATTTATTTATTTTTTAAACCCAAAACAGTATGCAGGATTTTACAATTTTACAGATGATAAGATATACCTAAGCTGTAGGAAGGCTTTTGATACTGTGGCCTATAACATTCTGTGACAGGGCACTGTTGGTGCCTGACACTTTAAGAGTGGAGCCAAACAGCCAGCAGGTGCTTGAAGGCGGTGGCCATTTTAGACCTCTGGCCACCTATATAAATACAGCAGTTCACTGCTGGCAGGCAAGTGAACCCCAAGGCTGCATGCAACATCCTGGAGGTAAGGGCAGGAGCTGTCGGGGATGTCTTGGAGGCTCCTGATCCTGGGCATGACCTGAAACTGCACCCTGCTGGGAGTGGGTGGCCTGGTGGGACTCTGTGGCATGGGAGCCCCCAGGAAATACTAGGCCAGTTACCACCCCGGTGAAAGGTGGGTCAGGGCACCTTAACCCCAGCTCCCACCTTCGGGTGGGTCACACACCATTCAAGGTAGTGGGGCCTGGCATGGCTACGGCAATCTGAGCCCACCAGGGAGGGAAGCCCTGTGGCCCCAGTGAGGGGGCAGTGTGGAGGGAGCCCCAGTGAGGGGGCAGAGATGAGGAGCCAGGGCAAGCTTAGACCTGATCGGATAATTAGCTGGCATCTACCCCAGTGAGGGTTGAGGGAGAGACCCAAAATACAGTGCATCTGCCACCCAAGGTATAAGCTAGCTAAAGCCTATGGCCTAAGGGGCCTGCTCCAAGAGGGAACAAGGCAGTATAAGTTGTCAATATGTGAAAGAGACCCTGTGAGAGGGGGTGGAGTGTGTAAGGCCCTAGTGAGAGGAGGGCAATATGAATGTGTGTGCGTCTGTGGCCTGACAACAAGGGCTAAGCTTGGCCCAGCTGTAGGCTGGGAGCATTGTCATCTGGATGCCATCTGCAAAGCTTAGGCTGTGGTGTAGGGGAGGAACAGAGCCACAGATAGCGCCCCCTGGAATCGGGGGCAAGAATGGGCAGCCTTCTGCCTTAATTAACAACAAGGCATGGCAGGTGAGAGGTGGGGAATCTAGCACTTGGCTAGTTGGGGAGCCCCAATTTGCCACACATTCTCATAAACAAGCTACTGTAAAGGTGGATGATTGGCTATAACTAGTTGGATAATTGTATTCAAAAGGGGAGTCCAGGGTT